GAGCAGGAATGGGATTAGAGAACAGAAACCAGGAAAAAGGGTGAACAGGAATGAGATCAGAGCGCCCAAAGCAGGAAAAGAGCAAGCAGGAATGGGATCAGAGAGCCCAAACCAGGAAAAGGGTGAGCAGGAATGGGCTCAGAGAGCCCAAACCAAGAAAAAGGCTGAGCAGCAGCATTTTTGGGGCTTTGTTTTTTCGTTTAGCTGTTCAAAAAGTTCCTTTGGGGTGCTCCTTCCCAGCACCACTGAACGTCCAGGCTGCCCCAGCCTTGTTCCCAAAGATTTCTCCACAGCCAGGGCAGCATTCCTTGGATCAGAATCATTCTCAGGTCTTGGATATTTAGATTTCCTGACCCAAATTCCCAGTGCAGGCTCTGCTCTCTATGATATCCAAGTATCCCTCAGCTTTTAGGGCAATTTTAGTGCAATTTCCCTCCTTGGGAGGGCAGGGAGACATCCCAGCTCCCTTTTTTTGGAGGAAAAGGGACCAAGCTGCACCTTCATTCCACACGAAGTGGCTGCCGAATTTAACATTTTAAAATCCCCAAATGTTTCTCTTTGCTGGGCCTCATCCCACACGTGTGTTTAGACAATGCTGCTGCTGCTTCCCACACAGCAAATCCTGCTGAGAAAAGTGTTTGCCACAGGATTTGCTTCTCCCTGACTTACCTGATTGTCACCTGACAGGAAAGGGAAGAAATCCAAACCTGTCAAGAGATAAAAAACAAAATTTAGCTCCTCCAAACAGCCCCTCTCCATTTTTTCACCACTTATTTTGAAAGAAACCAGCCTAACATCGACGACACTTCCAATTCTCTTTGCTACCAGTGGTACCAACCTCATTATTTTTGTTTTATAATTAGGTGAGTGCCTGGAGAGCTGTGCAGGTGCAGCCAGAACTCACCTTGCAGGTCATAAGGCATGGGTGTCATATGGAATGGATGCCTGTAGTCCTGGATGAGTGATGTGTTGATGTAGCTGGTGTCCACAGCAGGAAGGCTTGGGGTTCTTGACACAGGAGAAGCTTGGTGGGGTAAATTTAAAATGCTGGAAGGGGAAAAAAAAAAGATGGTTAAAAAGCATAAAATACACTCTTGTTTGTTGCTGTCCCATCACGGGATGCTTGTTTGCTTATTTTCAAATTGGACTTCAATTCTAAACAATTCAAAACAACTCAAAACCCATTCTGAGCTTCCTGGGGGATGTGCAGCCATCCCAAAGCTGCATCACACACTCCCCAGGCTTCCTCCTCCCAATATTCCAGCAGGAACATCCCTCCAGTCCAGGAGAGCTGAGGTGTAGGAAAGGAAAGCTCAGCCCCGAACAGCAGGAACTGGAAATGCTGCTGGGATCCCCAGAAATGTGTTTTCAACAAGGACAGGAGAATCCTGAAGGAATCCTGACCCCAAAACCCCCCAGGACCTGTGGGACCCCAGCGCTGACACCCCACAAGGGGGTTCCAGCTGGAAAAGGCCCTGGGGGGTTGCAGCGATTCCCACTGTGGAGCAGGAACCTCTTCCCACAGGATCCCTGGCTTCCATCCCAGAATATTTATGCAAACCAGGAGCTATTTCCAGCCTGGCTGCCCAGGTGTGCCCAGGTGTGCCCAGGTGCTTGTGGCATCCCCAATTCTCACAGCCCTGCCCCTCCCTGGCTGCTGCTTCTGCATTTCCCAATGGAAGAAAAACATTCCCGGCTCTGCAAAATCCACATTTCTGTGCCTTTTGCACCATTTTACACTCTTATTTTTTTTCAAATACAACTTCTTCATATTTCAATTTTCGTATTTCAATATTTCATTTGTGTTGCACACTCAAAGCTGTGATTCTCTGTGTTCCATTTCACAAACACAACTGAAATATCTGTGTTGTAAATCTTTGATTCCCTGTGCATCATTTCACAACTGAAATATTTAATTTGTGCTGCACACTCAAAGCTGTGCTTTTCCTTGTACCACTTCACAAACAGACCTAAAATATTTATGTTGCACACTTAAATCTTTGATTCCCCTTGCACCAATTCACAAACACAACAGAAATATTTCATTGTGTTGCACACTCAAAACTGATTCCCCTTGTACCACTTCACAAACGTAACTAAAATATTTATGTTGCACACTTTAATCTTTGATTCCCCTTGCACAATTTCATAAACAGAACTAAAATATTTATGTTACAGACTTAAATCTTTGATTCTCTGTGCATAATTTCACAAACACAACTGAAATATTTCTGTTGTACACGTAAATCTTTGATTCCCTGTGCATCATTTCACAAACACAATTGAAATACTTATGCTGCACACTTAAATCTTTGATTCCCCTTGCACCAATTCACAAACACAACAGAAATATTTCATTGTGTTGCACACTTGAAACTTTGATTCTCCTTGCAAAATTTCACAAACAGAACTAAAATATTTGTTACACACTTAAATCTTTGACTCCCTGTGCATTATTTCACAAACACAACTGAAATATTTCTGTTGTACAGGTAAATCTTTGATTCCCTGTGCATCATTTCACAAACAGAACTAAAATATTTCATAGTGCTGCACACTCAAAACTGATTCCCTTGCGCAATCTCACAAACACAAAAGAAATATTTGTGTTGCACACTCAAATCTTTGATTCCCCTTGCCCCAGCCCACAAACACAACTGAAATATTTGTCCTGCAGCCTCTGAGAGCCCTGCAAGGCTGCTTTGTCCTGCAGGGCTGCATTGCTTTGCAGCCTCTGAGAGCCCTGCAGGGCTGCATTGTCCTGCAGCTCTGAGAGTCCTGCAGGGCTGCATTGCTCTGCAGGGCTGCATTGCTCTGCAGCCTGAGAGCCCTCAGGGCTGCATTGCTCTGCAGGGCTGCATTGCTCTGCAGCTCTGAGAGCCCTGCAGGGCTGCATTGCTCTGCAGAGCTGCATTGCTCTGCAGCCTGAGAGCCCTCAGGGCTGTGTGCTCACCCCTTGCTGTTCATGGGAGATGCTGGGGAGATGGAGGGACAGCTCCTCTTGGCCGAGGGCTCCTCGTCCTCCTCGTCGGAGGAGCTGTCGATGGTCAGGTCGATCACTTCCACCTTCTTGTTCTTGTTGGATTGTTGGTGAGAGGACACCTGGTGCTCCAAGGAGGAGCTGATGCATCCTGCACAGAACCAACACTCAGCTACAGTCACAGCTGGCTAAAAAAGCTCAAAAATTCAAAACAAAAATCATCACGGGATGTTGGTAACTTTAAACACTGTCAGACCCAGACAGGTGTGACCCAATTAACTGAATATAAATGATGAAAGCTATAAATGTCTGTTTAAAAATGAGAATTTTGGGAGGTGAAGGAGCACAAACACAACTGTTTGTGTTTGTGTTTGAGCCCAGAGTGTCCTGCACAGCCCAGCCATGGCTCACCATCCACTCCATTGTAGGATGCTGTCACCTCCTGCACCTCCTTCTTGGACCTCATGGGAGCCCAGGATCCATCCTCCTTGAACTGGATCTCATCACAATCTGTGCAGAACTTCAGGATTTCCATGAACAACCTGTCCATAAAAATGTTTCATATCAGTGATATCAGTGCTAAAAAGAGCTTTTTCCCCTTTATTAGTCAGTGTAAGTCTGAATTTGTGGCAAAGCTTTGTTCTGCTCTTCTCTCAGCTGCCTCCTTGATAAAAAGGAATCACTGACAAAATTCGAGTATTACCTAAAATAAAAATCTGCAAAAATGAAGATTTTTATTGAAAAGCACTGAGAGGGCAATCCTGCAGAGTCTGTGACACAGAACTCTCTATTTCCCGTAACAAAGGAAATCTGTGAACCAGAGCTGATAAAAAAAAAATCCTCTCCTTACCCGCTTTGACAAAACCTAACTGAGCAAACCTCTCTTAAATCTGAGGATTTAGGGACTTGTGAAACTTCCTAACAAATGCTGAGCATGGGAATCTCAATTTGCAGCCTCTTCTCCCACAGGCACCTCCTAAAATTTTCGGATGCTGGCAGCACATCACTGCCAGTGGGAATTCCAGCTTCTGACCAGGCCCATTCATGTGGTTCTGCAGGGAAGAGCTTGGCTTTAATTAGAGTTTGGCTTTAATTAGCTCCCTCTTTCCCAGACTGGAGCATTTTCTACCAATAATCTTCTCTTTGGGATGCTCCAGTTAGATCAGATCCAACATCTGCACCTGCCAGCAGCAGGAGAAGTAAGGGAAATGTGGGGTTTGCATTATTCCTGGTTTTTGGCTCTGCTGTTTCAGGCAGAAACCTCAAGCATGAACCCCCCAGCTCTTTGAGCCAAGGCAGATTTGTCCTGGAAATTTGGGTTGCAGAACAGAACAGCCTGAGGGTTACCTCAGGAGCTTTTTACAAGGCTCCAAAGGGATCCTGAGTGACCTCATCCTTCCCTGGCAAAATAAAACACACATTCCCTGAAAGACTCAACGTTGATGATGTGGTTTTTTAAAAATTTTGGGGTTTCTTGGGGGTTTTCAGCTTTGCTTTTGGTGTTTTTTTGTGTGTGTGCTTCATCAACTTTTGAGCTTTGTTTTTATATTCAGAGTATTCTCAGAAACCTCTACTTGTTCTCTCCCTTTATATTAAAAAACCCAAAAATTTCTCTCTTAAAAAGAATTAAGAGGCAAACACAGAAACCCACACTTGGCCCAGGCTGGGGTGATATTTATTTATTTTTTTTTAGTGTTTTGCAAGCAGGCAGAGCCAGGGAATCAATGTGTGTGCCACTTTCTATAGATAGCAGCTCCCCGAGTGTGAAATTGCACACGGAATTGTGCAGGCACTCCCAGGGGTGGCACCATCCATTTGCTCTGCCTGTTATCAGCCCTGCCAGATGTGTGCAGCTGCTCCATGAGAAGAAAATCCAGCACGTGCTGTCTGCACCTAGGAAAATTCAGGAATTTCCAGAGAACTGCCCTCATTATTATCAAGTTGAGTTTGAAGGAGCAGAGTTCTTGCAGAAGGAGCTGCTCGGGAATTCCTGAGGGAATCCAACAGGGGAAATTCAACACGGGGAGCTCCAAAAAAAGAGGGAAATCAACTCCATTTCAGGCAGGAACACCCCATGTGGGCTCTGATTTCAGCTTCACTCACCCATCGATGATGAGATGCTCGTAAGGAGCTTTCTTGTCACACACAGGGCACACCCAGGTGGGTTTTTTCTCGTTCATTTGGATATAGAGAGTGGCATCAAAACACTGCAGGTGGGAGCAGGTCAGGGCCCTGCAGGGGATGGTCAGGCGCATCTTGCCAAGCTGGAAGAGGAAAAAAATATTATTTTATTACTTTAGGATTAAATGAACCACCAGGGCCTTCCTGCCTGGAAAGAGACAGGAGTTAGGTTGAGTTTTATTCCACAAAGAACTCTCAGAAATCTGAGTTTTGTCACATGCACAGTTCACTCCTTCCAGTATGTTTGAAATGGTATAAAAGTGAATAAAAATTATGTTTTGAATTATCTTGATCCAGGAAGCTGAAGAATGCACCCAGCCATATTCCTGCAACAAAATGCACTGAGCACCTGTAAACAGCAGTGTGCTGGATGGACCAAAAATAGAATTGTTATGTATTATTCCGTGTATTATATGGACCAAAACCAGAATTATCCTGCATTATCATGAAAGTATAATCAGACTGAAAGGATAGCAGACAGCGAAAGCAATTCCACTTTAATCTGAAATAAAAATCTCCTCACAAAACCCCACCAGAGTTGCAAAACTCCAAATGTTCTTGCTTGCTATATTATTGCCATTTTTTCTGCTTTCAGATTTTGCAGCCGTTTTTCTCTGCTCTGCTTTTTTTATTTTTATCTTTCTGAAATCCTTCTTACCTTCGCTATTTCTGTGTCCCCAGAATTCCCAGGGGACACAGAATTCCCACAGGAGATGCTCTGGTGCCAGGTGTTTGGCACCTCCTCCTCTCAAATCCATGGCCAAGCACATGATTCCCATCCCCAAATCACATTATTCCCATCCCAAAAACCACATTATTCCCATCCCAAAACCACATTATTCCCATCCCAAAAATCACATTATTCCCATCCCAAAATCAGCTCCCCCTGCCCTGTGTGTGGCAGGGATTCTCATCTCCCAGCTGCTGGGGCAATCCCTCATTTGATTTTTGGGCACAGTCCCCCAGCTCAGGAGCATCAGAGGGAAAATCTGGATGCTTTAAAAGCAAAATAAGGGAATTCAAAGGCAGGAAGGATTTAAAACCCCATCTACTGAGAGGAAAAAAATTAAAAACCAGGAAGATTTTTATCAATCCAAGCCCAACCTGCCCTCTCAGAGGATCCAGTGACACATTTAAATGTATGCTTACGTATATTTTGAGTAACATTTCCAAGTTAATGCAATATTCATTTTCCCTGGGGGATTTCAGGAGCTTTTCAGCACACAGAGAATTTCAGCTGCTCTCTGTCCCCACCAAAGTTACACCAGGTAAACACGAGGTATTTCCACCAGAATCACTTTTGAAGGAATAAAAATCAACTTACTGGACAAAGCAGAGACACTCTTAGGCTGGTTGTTGCTATTTCACTGTCTGGATCAGCAGTTAGTTTCTCTTTAACTGGTATTTGAAAGAAGAAAAGGTTTATTTTATGTTAATTCAAACATGAATTGGCTGATAAAGAAATAAAATAAGTCTGAAATGGTGTGGTAAGCTTTGAATTCAAAACCCCTAAAAATGTGTTTATCCAGAAATGTTTTAACTATTTTGCATGCAACTTTGTACCTGACCATTATTTAATATTTAATAGCACATTAATTTAATTTCTAACTCCAAGCTGAAGTTGGTACATTTGTTAACAACTCTCACATGGACAGGCACCACTATAAACCCCCCAAATCCTCATCAGGTGATTGCAAACTGAAAAGCAAATTGAGCAACAGGCAGTCAGCAGTACCCTGAAAAATATCTGAGATTTAAATAACTGCAGTGAAATATTGAAGTCTTTCATTCCTGGAGTTTTTCATCCTCTATTTTTATTGACAAGGGCTGTTTCATGAGCAGTCATTGGCAAAATTAACTAATCAGACTCATTTTATTCCTGCTCCAAGAACTGGACCTACGCCTTCATCCTCACCTGGCAGAGCAGCAGCCACCTGGAACTTGGTAGATTTTTGTGCATTTTGTGCATAAATCTGTATATATTTCTGCATTTTGTGCACAAATCCGTAGATTTTTGTGCATTTCATACAAAAATCCGTAGATTTTTGTGCATTTTGTGCACAAATCCGTAGAAGTTTGTGCATTTCATGCACAAATCCATAGATTTTTGTGCATTTTGTGCACAAATCCGTAGATTTTTGTGCATTTTGTGCACAAATCTGTAGATTTTTGTGCATTTTGTGCATAAATCTGTATATTTTTGTGCATTTTAATGCATTTTGTGCACAAATCATCAAACTGCATTAGGACAAATTAATGTCCAGCATTATTTTTTACTGCTGCACTCATTTCTTCCCCTCTGGAGAAGGTGCAACACCTGATGAGAGCATTAATTAAGGAGTAATTCTATATGGATCAGGTGTTGGGATTTTCCTCTCTCCCTGAAAAGCAACCCCGCAGTACTTTGTGCTGGTTTTATGCCACAAACTTCCACCAATTTGTTGTCAAGAGGAAACAAAAATGCAGCAAATTCACTCTGCAGTGAGGAGGGGTTCTGTGCTGGGCTCACCCCACAATTTTGGGAACACAAAATGCTCAGTGGAGCTGCTCCTGCCCAGGCCCAGGGTGAGGCCTTCAGCCCTCAATGCCCACTGTATAAATCACATTTGTGGCCATTTTGCACTATTTTTTACTGCTGTACTATTTTTTTTCCCTCTGTAGAAGGTACAACACCTGATGTGAGCATGAATTAAAGAATAACACCACTACCAGGGACTGGGATTTTCCTCCTCTCCCTCAAAACCAACCCCGCAGTACTTTGTGCTGTTTTTATGCCACAGATTTCCACCAATTTGTTGTCAGAGGAAACAAAAAGGCAGCAAATTAACACAGGAACTTTGTGCTGGCCACACTCTCTGGGCTCACCCACAATTTTGGGAACACAAAATGCTCAGTGGAGCTGCTCCTGCCCAGGCCCAGGGTGAGGCCTTCAGCCCTCAATGCCCACTTCCCTGTAAATCACATTTGTGGCCATTTTGCACTATTTTTTACTGCTGTACTATTTTTTTTTCCCTCTGTAGAAGGTACAACACCTGTTGTGAGCATGAATTAAAGAGTAACACCACTACCAGGGACTGGGATTTTCTTCTCTCCCTGAAAAACAACCCCACAGTACTTTGCACTGTTTTTATGCCACAAACTTCCACCAATTTCTTCTCCTGAGGTACTGAATGCCCACTTGACTGCAGAGCACAGTTGTGCCATTCTGCACAAACAAAGCCAGGATGGCTGAGCTGAAAGAGATTCTCTTGCATTTTTCCCCTCACAGTGTCAACAGGGTTCCTGGCCTGGCTCCTAGTGCAAACAAAGGCTCTGAGTCTTTGAATTGCAGCTGAGCACAAAGAACACCACTATCACATTCCCAGAGGGCTGTAGGAAGTCCAAAGCTTGGTTAGCACAGTCCTAATTTCAAATATCCCCTCACAAAAGTGTGGTTTTTAAATTTTTTTTGTTTTTTTTTCCTTTTTACAAAAGCCCAGCAGACACGTACTCAGTGCTCTGGAGTGATCCGGGTTCCGGATTCCCTTGGCCCGCAACCGCTGCAGGAGCACCGTGGAGGAGAGCTGCTTCACCAGGTACACTGCCATGGAATAGTTCTGGAAAACAATACCAAAACATCAG